AGTCTCGTTCGCGATCCCGTGGACGTAGCCGACGCTCGAGATCACGTAAGCGTTCACGATCGCGCCATCGACGCTCGCGATCTCGTCATCGGCGTCGATCGCGCTCGCGCTCCAAACGGTCTCGATCGAAGGATCGCAGGCGCAATTCTCCATCGAGACGACGCAGCAATTCGCGTAGTCGCCACCGTTCGCGTAGCAGATCGAGGAGGTCGAGGTATAATTAAACAATTTTCCGTCTTTGCCAAAGTCATGTTTTATTCACACACACACATATATTGAATTTTACTTATATTTAGTGTATAGCGAATTCGGTCACTTGCACTACGCTACTAGATCAGTGCATACTAAAAGCTGCTATACGTGAAGTTAGTAAAGTTAAAAGTATATAAATATTTTATACGATTAACTATCTATTAGTGATATATTGTCATGTTATTTAACATAATATACATGTATTATTTTGTTGTCAAAGTTGATTATATTGTATTACTGCACTGAGATATTTTATATAAAGCAGCTTTTAATATACACTGAACCAGGGTAATGCGAGTGATGGAATTTACAATTACAAATTCTAGAAAAATAAAGTATATTGTAGAAAAATGTTTCAGTATGGAAAAAAGGAATTCAGGATGCGAATGAAATCTCCGTCTTTAAAGAGATTAGTATATTTCTAATACATATATTAATACATGTATTAACTTTTTATCTCGTCAAAGGTCACGTCGATCACCATCTAGGTCAAAAGAGCGAAAGAAGAGATCACCGCGTCGTCGCAGTCGTTCACGTTCACGAAGCAAGGGCTCTACATCCAGGTCTAGGCGGTCGCGTTCAAAATCCAAGTCCAGATCGTCCAAATCCAAGTATTCCGTGGACAAGACCAAGGATAAAGATCGAGAAAGGCGCAGCAAGGATAAGTCAGACAATGGTAAGAGAAGCGATAGCGATCGAGAGAGGGCCGAGAAAGAGAGTAGTAGAAGCGAGAAGAAATCTAACAAGGAGAAGCGATCGAGTGACAAGTCGGATTCTAAACAATCGGATGAGAAGAGTAGATCTGCATCGGAGAACGATAGCAAGGAGAAAATGGATTCGGAAAATTAGAACAAGGACTCCATTCATCACTGATACAGTTTTCCAAGTATCGTAAAATTCAACAAACTACCTGTCTTTATCGCTAATGTATTGATACAGTGACAAATATATGGATATACAGCATTCTGTCAAAGAGGTAATTTGTATGTACCATATTGACGGTCGAAATGTTTCATAGATTCAGTTTGCTTTTACAAATGAATCTTCATTTTTTTGGGAATCGGCGGTAGTTTGATCTCCTCATCCTCTTTTTCCTTTTTGTTGCATATTTCTATTTTAAGCACGTTTTTAGGTGACCTAGAAAAACAATGCTTCGTTCGAAACAACTTGGCCAAGGGAATCTTTAATCGTCGTTATATATTGTAATAAGTTGTAATGGTTATGAAGAAGAAAAAAGATGAATGGTGCAAAAAATTAAGTAAAAAAGAACAGACCCTATGTTTCAATATCTGCTGTAATCGATTATATGAATTCAATGTGCCTGTTAATTTAACATATTCTGTATTACGTGTACCATCGATGGTACACGTTAAAGTAGATCCAGAGTATCGAGCCGAACTTCGAGTCGCGAGCATAATATAACATTATATTCATGAATAAATTTTTACGGAAAATATTTCATGCATATAAATTTGTTTCTGTTGATTATATTACTTAATTTTTTAAAATTAAATTTATTCAAACTAGAGCCGTTTTCAATTTTTTATTTCAGATCAAGGGTTTGTTCCAATATAATCGAACCAGTTTTGAACTATCAGAAAATTGCGGATTATCTCAATTGGATTATACTATGTAATAAAATTTTATAATGCACAGATTCGTGACAGTTAAGGCCTAAACATAATGCGAAGGTTGCGCATTGTGTTTAGGCCTTTTACTCGTTGCCTCGCGTTGTGTTTAAAGGCCGCAGCACACACTTGCATAACGAATAATACACAGTGCATAAAGGAATCAAAATTCTTCTTTTTCATGGAATGGGAAGAAAGGAAAGATTATGATTAGTTGATTCGCTTATGCACTATGCGTTATGCGTTATGCAAAAGTGTGTGCTGCGGCCTTAAGCGGGGAGCACAGACTCTTGCATAACGCATAACACGTAATGCATAAGAATATGTACCAATCGAAGTTCTCCGTTTCTTTCCCTTCCATGTAATAGAGAACTCTGGTTGGTTCAATTTCTTATGCCTCATGTGTTATGCGTTATGCAAGAGTCTGTGCTCCCCACTTTAAAGGGCTTCACACATGAAATGCATAACAGAGCATAAGCATAATATAAGACTGCTGGATCAATGAGCGTCTAGCATAATGTCGCCATATTGATTTACATAAGTTGCTCATTGGTTTAGCGGCCTTATATGAGAAATGGACGAATTACAGTCGATTATTCTCCTCGCAATCGATTATAATTGGTCAATTTCTTACGGCTTAAGGCTTATATCACCTATTGTAGATCCGGACTTAAGGGCTTCACACATGAAAGGCATAACAGAGCATAAGCATAACATAAGACCGCTAAACCAATGAGCATCTTACGTAAATCAATATGGCGACATTATGTTGGGCGCTCATTGGTCCAGCAGTCTTATGTTATACTTATGCTCTGTTGTGCATTTCATGTGTGAAGCCCTTTACGCTTACGCAAGCTACGCTGCATGTGAAAGCAGACTTACACTGCTTTCTTTTCTGCGATTGTGATTGGTCGCACTGTTCCATTCCTCTGCAAATTTTCGCTCCATGGGACGCCAGCTTTATGCTGGATTCACATTGCATCCGATG